TATATATATATATATATATATATGTATGTATATTTCAGTGTGCATATATATCAGTTAGTTCATATCTTTCTATTTATGTATTTTATTTTTATATATGTATGAATAATATATATATATATATATATATATATATATATATATATATATATATATATATATGAGTATGTTTTTTATATATATATTTCAGTTTGTTTATATATCAGTTCATATCTATATATCTATCTATCTATCTATCTATCTATCTATCTGTCTGTCTGTCTGTCTGTCTATCTATCTCATTCTCTTCATAACTACCTATTTACCTATCTCTCTCTCCCCTCTCTCTCTCTCTCTCTCTATATATATATATATATATATGTATGTATGTATGTATATATGTATCTATCTCATTGTCTTCATATCTATCTTTATATACATGTATATACTTATATATATTATTCTCTTCATACCTGTCTATCTATCTGTGTCATTCCATATTTATTCGAACTAAATTTCATATATATATATATATATATATATATATATATATGGGTGGGTGTGTTTGTGTGTGTTTAAACTACATACAATTATATATAGATAAAATTAATGACGTAAAGTACTTGTTTATTTTGATTTATAATTCTTTCCAGTCTACTGATGACTGTGTGTGAGTCATTAATAATCAGCGTTTTCATAAAGTGAAACCATCTGATTTATAAATTAATCTGTTGAGAGTTTTACTAAAATTATGAATATGGAATTGGTACTCCACTCAGGAAGCAATCATTTATCATATATGTATCAATGTCATAGAGTTTGATTTGTTTTTCTTCGCAAGAGAATTCCTTGTTTTTTAACCGGGTGTGATACCCACGTTGTAAACGGACATTTTATTTCATTTTATTTTATTTAAGAGGGAAAAATAAACTTGGACTGTTCACCAAATGTTGTATATGTTTGATATAAAGACTTATTGCTTGTACACTGATCTGTTATACATTGTTACATGGAATTAAGTTTAAAGAATTAATTTTTATATGGAATTAGTAAGTGCCAAACTCTTAGGACATAAGTAAATTAAACAGCTGTACTAGTTGCCAACAAAATAACAATTTAATACAAAATCAAAACATCAATCTAAAATTCAAGAATAACCTCGACAAAATAGTGTCCTGTCCTGGCATCTCGGTTTCAGTCACTTTCCCATCGCCGTAACGTTGCTTCCCTCGGCCTTTTCTATAAATTCTTTTTATATGAATGGCTAGCATAGCACTCCACTCGTTCAGAAATGTATAAATCGATAAAAAATCAGCTATATAGAATCGTTTTTTTTTTTCAGAACCACTATTACAAATAGCTTGAAGCGAATTAAAACTGTAAGTATTGAAGAGGACTGCCCTTCGTCTGATCTCGTAGACTAGTGCTATAGAATCACAAAGAATTTTACCAAATAACAGGAACCGCATCACTGGAATACTTTCAACAATGCCAACAATATAAATGGAGTGCACTTTTAACTAGAAGAAAAAATAAAGATATAATCAAAATGTTGACTTTTCACAGTACTTTAAACAAAAGGTTAGGAAGGAAACCTCCATCGATAACAGAATTGAGAAGCCTAATTTCCCGAAAAAATGTTTTCAGGGGAAAACTTTTATAAATTTTAACTCACAGTAACGCTCACTAATTGGTCATTGAACGCTGAATGTTTTCCTTATAAGGATATTGTTAATCTGATTATTACCATCAAAAACGCTGAGATTTTTTTGCACACACTAACATTAGCATCTTAACTCATTGATAAATATGAGCGCAAAAGAATTTAGAATAAGAATTTTGAAGGTCTATAGACTTCAAATGCGAAACATGTAGATTTCCATTTATTCTATGGTATAATCTTCTTTTGGAGAACTGCTTTATGAAACAGATTCCTGGGTATGACAATAAACTACATCCGGTAGCAAGTGAGATTTTGGGGAGCGTGGAACCCTGTCTTAATTGCTGTTACTCCCAGGTCCACCCTGACCCGCAGTGGTAACACGTATGAGGGCCCAAGCTGTGGGTAAATAGTTAACCCCAAAACTGGAGGGAAAATACTATGAAAGTACAAAAATACATTTTTCTAGTAAAAATACATTTTCATAGTTAAAATAATTACCAGAAATACATTTTTGTAAAAGAAATTACTAATGCTTCCAAGAAAATGAACTTTCCGCATGAAATGACCCATAAGGAGTTGATACCAAAATTAACGTCTTCAAATCTAGAGTCAACCAATATCTATCTCACATATCCTCACTATATCTACTTGGTTCCTCTTCTTATGTCATACAGCAATTTCATTCACTAACCTTTGGCCTTTTATTCGGAGAAAACTTAATAAAAAGAACTAAAATATAATAATAATAATAATAATAATAAACAGGTATTATTTTATATAATTATTATCATGATCAAAGAATTAAATGTAATATTTGCTATTTCCGTTGCCATTACGTGTGCATATAACGAAAAGAAACCTTATAAGTTTACCCAAAGAAGTAATGTTACATCAAAATGTTTTTTTTTTTCCTATAGCTTTTATTATTTACCTAAGTCCGACATTCTTATAGTTAGTGGGCATTCATTTTGCCAAAATTCAGTTGAGATTAGATTGTCCACTCTAGGGCACAGAACTTGTAGATGGTATATGGAAGCCGTGCAATGTCCAGACCACATGGACGTACCGACACAATCAAAATGAATACGGAGTATAACAATTGGAGACAGTTTGACTGCACGAGTTGCAGGTAACCGCCAACCGCCTTAAATCCGGGTTTTCTGCCTGGATTTATTGCCATAGCCATTTTTTGTTTTGATATGACCGCAAAGCAGCGGAGGTTTTTAAACCAGGGTAGTTCTTTCCGATAGAATCACTGCTTTCCTTGGCTGACGAGCTCCATCTACTCGTCGCAGGTGGTGATGAGGTGCCAGTTGTCTACCTTTGTCCATTCTCCGGCTTAGACTTGAACTTAGTTGTCAGGGGCCATTTGAGACGTATGGCATGGAAACATTTTATAGACATTGGGAGCTTGTCTCCACTATCACCTCCGTCTATGACATACTTTGGAACATAGGTAATGTACGTATATATATATATATATATATATATATATATATATATATATATATATATATATATATATATATATATATATATACTTTCAGTAATTTTATACCATCTGCAGTGGTACTTAAACACCATTTATTATAGTAGTATCAAAAGTAATCTTTGAAAATCGCTAGACATGGACAGCAGAAAGAGAACAATGTACCACTTCTTCATGTACCGTGTCTCTTCCGAACGTAGGAGATCATGGCTCCCCACATCTTCCTGTCCTTTGTAGCACTTAATAAATTTTATCTTTTTGTTATTTCTCCTCAACCTTATTCCGAAATTCATTTACTCGAGCTCTTTACTCTTCTTCTATATGCCGTGTCCTTTCAGGACATAGGCGATCAAGGCTCTCCACAATTTCCTATCTTTTGCAGCTCTTAATAAATTTTGTCTTTTTGTTATTTTTCCTAAACCTTGTTTGGCATACATTTACTCAAGCTCATTCTTCTTCTTCTATATGCCGTGTCCTTTCAGGGCATAGGCGATCAAGGCTCTCCACAATTTCCTATCTTTTGTAGCTCTTAATAAATTTTGTCTTTTTGTTAGTTTTCCTAAACCTTGTTTGGCATCCATTTACTCATATTCGCTAGGTAGTCTATGTGTTGTTTACCCTTGTTCCTCTTGCCTTCAGTCTGTCATGTGGATGTCAGATTTTCCAAGCTCTCTTTCCTTACTATATGCCCGGGAATTTTCAGTTATGTCTTCCTGATATTAAGTGTCCTTTTCGTTTCCATTTTCTCTAAAAGTTTTGTTTTTGCTCACATATTCGGTCCAAGGTATTTCTAGCATGCTTCTTCAGAACCTTATTTCTGTTGCATGAAGTCCCTTCAACTGTGGAGCGAATGTCCAGCATTCACTGCCATATAGGAAGACCAACTTACCAATTTTATTTTACCTACATATATAAATATTTCTTATTGGGAGGAAAGTTCTCGTGGTGTACTTAGGAACCGCCAAATCGTTTCGTCCAACCAAATTCGCTTTTTAGAATTATTGTAATTTACCCCTTTTTTCGTCTCCATATACGGACACTTTCGGTCACATGTTTTCCTTTTTTTGTGGTGATGGTGGGGTCTCTTTTCTAGATTTTACAAAGAAGATTTTTTTACATTATTCTTTCAAACAATCTAGAATTGTCATAACAAAGATTCTGTCACATGGTATTTATCTCCCTTATATAGGCAAGATTAAAAATTTAAGACAAAAGTACACAAATTATATTTGGCATCTTATAAAACTATTCCCGTTTTTTGTTATTTTTATATTTTGTTTCATAAAAATATAACGAGCATAGTTCCTTTAAGATAATATTACTGATGTTGATAAGGTTACGGGTTTCATTTGAAAAGAAAAACATGTTTGTTTCTGAATGTCTGTGCGCATGCGTAAGGTTATCTGCTTTTGTTTACAAACAAAAAAAAAGAAGAAAACCTTTCACATTTGAAATAGTTAAACTATATGAAAGATGAGCGCAGATTATAATGGACTTGCAAAAATGCGTAACACGTAGGAGACAAATGTGTTGCGCCAGCGCCAAACAATGTATATGTAACTATTATCATTTCCTTAAGAGCTAGTCTAATGGCGGCCATGATAGTTCGTCATTAAATGCAACGCAACTGACGCTGTCTGGATCCATTTACTCGACCTGGTCTTCATGTCTCTGAGCTTTTTTTTTCTCTTGAGGATTTAAACAAATGATAATGTTCTCTTGACATTTTCTCATAAACTATTTATGCAGATGCCGATAATGTTACAAAACTATGCACAGATAAGAAGAGTATATGCAAGGAATAAAACTGAGGATTTTCTACCATATGCAAAAGGTTATATAGAAGGACGAACAAAGGGAGGTAAGATCAACCTGGTGACATAATATAGATAGATAGATAGATAGATAGATAGATACATGAAGGAATGAAGAAACAGAGTGAGATAGATAGATAGATAGATAGATAGATAGATAGATAGACAGAGAGACAGACATGAAGGAATGAAGGAACAGAGATAGATAGATAGATAGATAGATAGATAGATAGATAGATAGATAGATAGATAGATAGATGTGCGTGCAGTGCAATATATAATAATTTGAACTTAAAAATTAGAGATGAGTTCGAATTCCAGTCGAGTTCATTACTTGCCCTTATGCGAAATTACACTTCGGAAAGGTATGAAGTCATTTTTTTGTTTCTGTGGCGAACGCGCGTCAGTACAAACGCAGAAGAAGCCCCTGAGGAAGAATCACTTGGAGACGATGTTGATGAACACGAACCAGCCCCCCCCGCCACTCTCGGAGAAGCACTCGACGGAAAAGACCCACTTCAATCTGTGATCAGGATCAGAGTGTGGTGAACGCCCGTCGGTGCAATCTCAAAAGAGGCCTCGCATTACGTGCGGTCATGTTTGTCAACAGCAGTTTCATCCAAGTTTTCATCGTTCACAGCGGGACACCTTGGCACGTCTAGATACGGCCATCTGTGCAGACGGGTCTTTGTAAAATGCCTCATGCCAATATAAGCAACGGGAAAACAGTCAGCATTTGGGGCGACATGGTGTCTTTTGAAGTCTGTTCCCTAAATTTGCTGTGGTTTCCGAGGCAGGGTTATTTTTGTTACCCTCCCCGTCTCTTTCCCCTCTTTCTGCCTATTACCCCCGTAGTTGGTGGGGAAGCAATCGGTTAAGTATTTTCCTCAACCTCAACACACTCTTGTTGTACATTACAACAGGTCTCCTTCTATGGGTTAAATAGTAGGACAGTTTGGGCTTTTTAGCCTCGGTTGGCAAACAAAATTTAGAAGGACAACTCCGAATTGAAAACTTGAAGAGGGTCATTTGTGCACCCGTGTTCACTTCTTCCGAAATATGTCGTTTGGTTCTGCACAATCCTTCGCCATTATAATCACAATATGTGCGATTTTCTGGATGTTTGGTTCTAATAACTAAGCTACTGGACTGTCATAAGTCGAAAACGACTATAGATTTCACAATTATTAGTAGTAATACTATTATTATTAGTAGTAGTAGTAGTATTGTCGCTACTCGCCTACGGACACAAACGCCTACACAACTGAAACCAATATCTTTAAACATCCCCATTGGTATTTAAACTATTTACATTGTTCGAACTGTTTTCCTCATCTTTATTGCCATATTCACAAAATTTCGGCCGTTGTACACTCCGTCCGTTATCAGGTGATATACTTTATTGTCATATTCACCCTAACTCTAAACCTGTCACCAAGAACACATGGCGCATTGGATAAAAGCGTTGGTTGAATTAATCCACTGACTTGACCCAAAGAGTTGTGAGTTGAACAAAAAAAAAAAAAAAAAAAAAAAACTGAAACTGAAATATCCAGAAAAGGTATGGTGAACGAATTTCCAACAGTTCGAAATTCCAAGGTATATCACCTGAAGAAGTCCGGAGCGTGCAACAACCGAAACGTCATAGATATGCCAATAAAGATGAGGACAATAAAGATGAGGACAGCTGCCCGGACACTGTAAATGGTGTAAATAGTTACAATACCTCATCTCATAAATATAGACAGATATCGTCATTGGTCCATACCGACCAATGAATTACCTTCCCGCTTAAATCCAAAATCCTGTCTGAGAGTTTACCGATTGTTAGTTGAACAGGCCCAGACAGCGAAAAACCAAAAAAAAGAGAGACAAAGGTACATAGGCACGCACAGACAGATGCTTGATTTACGATCAGACCGTGAGATCATCTCGCAGACAGTTGAAGAATATATACGAATTAACGCACCATAGAATACGATATCAAACATCTTCATACAACTCACAAACTAATCACGCTCGAAACAAAATATTAAATCCAAGTATGATTTCTAACACCATCAGTATGAATCCTGAAAACTTCGACCCACTGAAGATAAATCATCATGCAGCTAAACAAGAAGTCTCTATTTTTTCTTTTTATGTGCCATGTCCTTTCAGGACGTAGGCGATCATGGCTCTCCACCTCCCTCTAAATTTCCTTCCTTCTGCTTTCTTCCCCAGAACACGTTCTGTCATCCACTTGCTTAGGCTCTCCAGGGATGTCACGCGTTCTTTTCCCTTGTCTCTCTTTCCTTCTATACGACCAGTGAATATCAGATTTTTCAGGCCTTCCTTCCTCACTATGTGTCCCAGATACTTCAGTTGCCTCTTCATGATGTTAAGCATAAGCCTCCTCCTTGATTGCTAACCTCTCTAAGACCTCATCATTGCTTACATGATCGGTTCATGATAGCCTTAGCATCCTTCTGTAGAACCACATCTCTGTCGCCTCGAGTCTCTTCTTCATCTTTTGAGGAAATCATCCAACATTCGCTGTCGTAAAGGACAGATGTCACGCAGTAGCTCAGTATTCATTTCTTTGTTACCAAAGAAATCGTCTTGTCTCGCAATACTCTGCCCAGCTTTTGGAATGTGTCCTTGCCCATCCGTCTACGGATCTCAGTGTCGCACTTACTGTCCTCTGTCAAAACGATTCCCAGATATTTAAACTTCCGCGTCTGCTTGATTCTAGTGTTCCCGACCTGCAAAACATTTACCTAGGTTCATTGTTGCACTTTGTTTCTGTAAATAAATATTGTGAACCTTCAGCATGTTTTCCCTCATGTCATTTCTGTTGCATGGCGGAAAAGAAAAATTAAATGTCGATGAAAATCTATCTAATATTTATAGAGGCCAATTTCCTACCTTTTTCCTTCTCACCATCCGTAACATTATATTTGGTAGATGCCCCCCTCGTTCTTGAGTATGACCATCGGAAGTATCATTGCTCAACTGTGACTAACGATATCAAGCAATGCCTTTGAAGGATTTTTTTATTTTTAAATCCAATCTAATTTTTTAATCTAATCCATGGAAACAGAAGCAGGCTATCATCACATTCTTGTCCGTGTATTGCTTAATATATTGTACTGTAATTGTCATCTTTGATAATGGCTTATGTAAGCCGAAAGCTTAGATTGGATAAAAAATATGTATCAATATTGTGATTTTCTTCCTTCGTTTAATGATAATGTTATTAAGCTTATCAGACGTTATGAAAAGAATTTACATAAAATAAATAGATAACACTTATCTATATTTTTTAATGAAACATGTATGAATATATATATGTATATATTAGCAACAAGGATACAGTTAAAAAAGTTCTGTATATATTAAAAAGACAACAAGGTCTTTCTTTTTAATATTTCCTTATATTTTTCCAATTTTCGAATCAGTTATCGTACATCTTGACCAAATTTATGTTTTATTCAAACCCATTCCACTAGGACGCTCATTATCAGGAACTTAATGTTGTCTGTATCATAGAGAAAAATTTTATTACCTTGTGTGTGTGTGTTCGCTTGAGCGAACGTGTGAATGCGTGTGCGAGAGAGAGAGAGGTGGAGAGAGAAGAAATTCAATTTTAAAATTTTCGGCGTTCCCCTCCCCTTTGTGCACATGTGTCGTTACATCAATGTAAATACATATCGAGCTGCGTATTCAAGAAATCTCAATAAAAATCAATCAGGAATCGAATCTGCTTCTCCTTTTGTAGGCGAAGCCACCGTTTCATAAGGTGTGCTTTACTGCTTGGGCACGAAGGACATCACAGTCCAACCTGGTTATATTTTCACCTTTAAGAAAAGCCCCCTACTTCACTAAGATATTTGTCTCGAAAGCCGCACAGTTGCGTATCCGACGTGTTTAAAGCATTTTTAAGGAATTAATTTTTTTTAATCCGTCATTTCTATTACTTCAAACACACCGGATTAAACGATGGTTTCTCCAGCAAAGGAGGACGCAGGTTTGATTCCTGCCGGAGAGCGTATTTTCTTTATTGGGATTTTTCAAATACGCAAACAGATAGACGTAATGCACAGTGTTTAAAATAATAATAAAAATGTGACGTCTATATCAAATACGAGTATCCATTATAATAACATTTGAAGAAATATTGAATCAAAAATAAACCCATGAATACATATGAAAATATATATATATATATATATATATATGCATATATATATATATATATATATATATATATATATATATATATATGTGTGTGTGTGTGTGTGTGTGTATGGGCGTGTGCGCTGTGTGTGTTGATGTATTAATGTGTTTATATATGCACGTTTGTTAACACGTGTATCCGGCGGAAGTATGTCGTGGCAAAAAAAAAGAATTTGTTTCTCCAGATTTTACTTCGTAATCGCATTTAATGGAGAATTCTGTGTACACGCACACAGATGTCTAAACATACACTCCTGCACGCACACAAACGGATTATGTGTCTGTTTTGCAACATTAAAATTTCATGACTTGCGAAAATAAGCTACTTTGCGAATAGATTCTTTGGAACACAGCATCAGTATGACGTCATGAGCGACGAAACCATGATGGATTACAAAGAAATGGTCAAAGTCGGATATGGCCGTTGACTCCCTACGTCAAACATATTCAGTTATGCGTAATGCTTTGAATATAACACGGTGTATTTGCGCATGCGTGTGTGCGTGTTGGTTTTATTGTGCCAAGATATGTTGATAGCTGTTGAGTTACCTAAGCCTGCTACCCTGTGAAATCATTTCTTGAGATGAAACTTCTAAAGACTTTCTATCACGTCGACTTACAGTTGCCTAACTGCTGATCTGGGACTATATCTTCTTTCTGTGTTGAGATTTTAAAATATTCGCCAGTTTGCAGAAAAATAAAATAGCTATTGCGTTGTTCCTAGGAGCAAGATGAAAGTTTTAAAATATTATCCTGTCCTGTGTTCAGTCAACTATGAGCATTAGTGCCGTGACTGAGAAGATCTGTTGGACACAATAAATTGTAATTCTTTTAAAGTTTAACTAAAGCAAAAATACTGACCAGATTTCAAATTCTCATTCACTGAATTATTTCTAATTAAATTCATTCCATTTTCATTCAGTATTAAGGAGATTTCTTAATAAAATACGACACAGTTCTTATTATAATAGGTATATATATAGGGTCTATCTGAAAAGTAACGGGACTGGTGTCACAATTTGTTTCAATTCCAAAAAATAAACTATGAGGTTTCCCTTCAAAATACCCCCCTTGATTCTAATGCACTTTCCCATCCTTCTCTGCCACGCTTTTATGCACTGCTGGAAGAATTCTTCTTGCATGCCCCTCAGCTCAGTCGTTACAGCCCCCTTGATGGCTTCCACGCCTTTAAAACGAGTCCCCTTGATGATCCTCTTGAGCAGGAGGAAAAGAAAAAAAAGTTACACTGAGCAAAATCAGGTGAATAGGGAGGTTCTTCCAGTACGGCAATGTTCTCAGTCAGGAACTGCCGGATGCTCAGGGCGTTGTGAGCAGAAGCATTGTTGTGGCGAAGCAGCCACAATTTGACCTGTCACAACTCTTGTCTATTCTCGCGCACTGAAGCAAACTGCACATGATCTCTTTGTAGACTTGCTGGTTAATCGTCTGGTCCCGTGGCAAGAACTCACTGTGTATAATACCCATAAGTCACACGGCACAGCCAATCCCGTTACTTTTCAGACAGATATCATGTATGGAAACAAAATGGAAAAGCAATTCAACACACATTTTACACTAGGCGTCTTCAAACTGAAATGAGAGAAAAAACCTTTTATGTGAGAAAATCATGTTGAAATATGATAAAAAATATAAAGAATATCTTTATCAGATGTTGCGGTCAGTGGTGTTGTTTTTTTTTGTACTGAAGCCACTAACGACTCCTGCGGAAGGAAGAGAGAAATAAAAACAAACAGAATATATGGTTTTCAGTACGAAAAACGCCAAGTCTCTATTCGTAGCATCAGACAAGGACCTCTTCTCCATGTACCAACACTTTATTACTCATATAGGGGTTTGTCTGCCATTTCAGTCTGAGGACGTCTACAGTAAGAGGCGAAACACGTGGTTGAATAATTTTCCTACTTTGTTTTATTATCTCCACTTTTTATATTATACTACATCCTGATAACACCCAAATATTACATACATATTGGAATAAAATACGTTCATAATAGTAAGGAAAAAACATAAAATATTATATAAACCGGTTATAAATTTATTTCAGCAAATATATATATACATATATATATATATATATAAATATATATTATTCATAGAAATCTTATAAGTATAAGAATCTATACTCGTTCAGAAAACCATCGGTGTCTTGATTTGCAAATAAACAAGCCAATACCAAAGGGAAAAAGGTATAAAAAAAAGAAAGAACCAAGAACATGTACGTTAGCCGAAAATAATCGTCCAGCAGACGAGTTCAAGGCCCAAAGAAAAATAAACCTGATGCGAGTATCCAAAATAACTAAATAAAGTGCTCAATAATATATATATATATATATATATATATATATATATATATATATATATATATATATATATACCTCATCAGAGCGACTACATTATTAAATTAATAAAATGTAGTCGGGGGAATGAGGATATATATATATATATATATATATATATATATATATATATATATATATATGCATCTGCTAAAATAAATTTATAACCAATTTATATGATGTTTTCAAGTTTTTTCCCTTATTATTATTATTATTATTATTATTATTATTTATATTGGTCTGTATATAAATTTATACATTGAGCTCTCTTCATGTATTTCACTTTTTAATATTTTTATATTAAAAAGACCTCCTTGGAATAATCTATACCACTTACTTTGGTATTACTCATGTATCAAAATATTTCACAAGATCTATTTTGCAATTTGCTAACTGAAATAGCACTTATGTATTTTTAACGCTTTTAAAAGTTCATAGCTATAGCATAACATAAAACCTTACAAATAAGCAAAATCAAGTTCTAGAAGCCCCCCCCCAAGAGTCATAGTATTTCTATATTTATATAAAGTCTGAGAAATTTTGTTTATGTTTTTGGTAGGTGGGGTGACATTTTTTAAAAAATAAACTGAATTAAACTCTTCTTAAAATATTTATTTAACAAAAGTTCATATATATATATGTCTCTGTGTGTGGTTAGTGTATTTGAGCAGCAACGCATGTTTTATTCAAGAAAACTAACAAGGCACCGCGATGAAAATTTCTGTCATATTTTTCTTATAGTCTGAGACGGTCTATATTCCATTTTCTACAAATCAAATAACTGGCCACTCATTTCAATTGACAAAGTCTTTGGCACACAAAGTAGGTTATCCAAGAGTTGATGCGACAAGAAACCGAGATGACACACAACTGAATTTGAAACTCGGCTTTACGATGAACAATTCCCAGCCATTATACATTACACCACCCGCACACTTAAGCTTACTTGATATTCCCATGCAGTCACCCATCTAGATACTGACCACATTGTACGTTGAACCGGTGTTTCAATGTGACATAGCCGCCAGCCTCACTTGAATGAAAATAAATTATTGATGTCAGTATGAAATTCATTATTTAGCCACCGCGTAATTTACACATTGGGCATCTCTGTGTATTTCTAAACAGTGCGACAATCATTTTGTTTATACCACCCTCACATCCAAACTTACAGCACCTGGTATTTTTAAGCGGTCACCCATGGAGGTACTAACCAAGTTCGACGTTGCTTAAATTCGACGATCGTACGGGAAGCGCTGTTTCAACGCTGTATTGTCGTAAGCTTGTACAAAGTAGTCGCATATTTCTACTATATTTGATTATATAAAAGAGGAATTATCAAAATAGAAAACATAACTTGCATTGTTTTGCCAAAGCGTCTAAGCATTTAACCATCCTTTCAGGCGTTGCATTTTCATGTTATAAATTAATATTTCTATTGTAATTGTTTGGATGAACTTTTCACTGTGGTACCTAAACTCTTTGAATTTAAGTGCAGTACCAGACTGGCAGTGAGATCTCATCAATTTCAAATTGAGTTGGCGAAATGTAACCATAAATTCTATGCTAACAGTTTCTTTTCTCGCACTTCTCGCGATTATGTCAAATTTTGTCCATATTATGTTCTTCGCCATTCGACGCAACTAAATATATATATAGAACGTTATGTAAGCAAATATATGGATATAAATCCGACAGTATGAAGAAAAATTCAAATTCAACATGAAAAAGACGATGGACATAAGAACACGACTGATATTTATTCGTACAAAAAGTACAAATTGTGGCACGAGGCCAATAAAGGGGAGGGGTAGAGGCTGGTCAACACTAACTATCTTATACCTAGCTAATCAGATTCAATGACCCATTCGTACCTTTACATTTTACTCATTCACCAAAAGAACTCGTCCATCACCAAACAATCCTTCAACCACCATAATACCACGTGCTCTCAAGGGAGACCTACCAAAATCGCGCCCCATGCCAGAAAAATTTTAATGATGATATACATATACAATTCTAATAATGATAAAATGAGAGGAGAGGGAAATGAACCCAATAATAAACTTAAAATAAACACAAATACAAACTAAACATAATTGATGTTAGTAGGGACCGTCCAACCCATAAAACAGAGAGACCGCTGTATTCTGCCCAGGGGACAAAATCAAGAGACGCTCTCGCTAAGGGAGTGGGAAAAAGTATAAAATATTAGGCTGGAATGGGAAAATATAAAACTGACCCAGTCGAGATGAAAAGGGGGGGGTCAAAACAAACTGGGGAGGTTGGGAATCTCGACTTGGATCATAACCAAAGAACGGCCGGGATGCAGGCCAGGAACAACACTTACTCACATTAACTAGGTACACTGAAGCTTGTCTAATCCTAACCAAGGGAGGGTTCCACAGGAAGCCACCCTGATGTGCAATAGGTTGACCTAGAAGAGAAAATCAAGGCTAGCCCCGTTCACACGTGCGGATCAGATGCAGGTTGCTCTGAATTGTTCGGCCCCTCACAGAACAAGTCTGCTCAGGTCCCAACAGAGACTCGGCAACTAACTGCAAACGCTCCTGCAGGATCTTGGCCATAATCTTTAACTCTGTGTTTAGCAGAGTTATGGGCCTATAATCATCTAGGTTCCCCTCACCACCTTTGCCCTTTTTCAACAGAGTGATCACACCCCTGGTGATCCGATTGGGGATGGACCCCGACCGAAACCAGTTGTTGAACATTGCAGTCAAAATTGGAACAAAGATGTGCGACAGCCTCAAGTACAATTCACAGGGCAAACCATCCAGACCAGGCGACTTGCCTCTGCCGACCTTCTTCAAAACCGCGTAGACTTCGCCCTCCGTAATCTCTCCCTCGCAGCTAGCCGCTTCAGTCGGCGAAAGCCGAGGAAAGTCAGCCAAATAGCTACGAAACTCCTCCTCACGGAGACCAGGCTCCTTGGTAAACCGGTTCTCGAAATGGCGCCAAAACGCTCCGCACATGTCGTCAGTGGCCCGAAGAGTACGCCCCTCCGGGGATTTGACTTCACGAATGTAACGATCGCCACCACGACGGACCTCTTCCCTGCGCAGATCTGCGCCCAAGTTCACGGCTTCGGAAGACATCTTGCTTAACTTATGTCTAATTACCTGACCCATGTACCGCTCGCTATTCGATCGATCCAGGGCCTCCTTAGCTAAGGCTATCTCTAGGGGATCCCCCCCCAGCCACCGCCCGGGAATAACTAGCTTTAAGCGTCTTCACCTTTTCAGCTCTATCTAGAGCGAGCCGTTTGCTGAAATCAGTGGTGAAGGACCTAATCCTACATTTAAGGCGTTCCCACCATCTATTCCCGATAACCGCCCCACTAGCTCCCGCTGCACTAGTCTAATTATCTGCTCCTGGAAGTCCCACCTGTCCAGTAAAGACAGATTGAACTTCCAGTACCCGGCCATTCTAGGCCTATTGTCTAACGCTACCCGTGCACAAACGAGTTTGTGATCCGAATAGCCTACCCAGTGGAACGTAAGGCAATCTAGTAGTTCTATGTCGGCTCTTCTCACTAACATTCTGTCAAGGTAGCTAACCACCTTGTCAGACGGCCAATTAAGAGCCCACGTCCACTTTTTTTCCTTGGGATGATCGACCCGGTATCTATCGACGAGACCATAATCGCCGATCAGATCTACCAGGCTGCGATCGCCCCCTCTCCCGCTAGCACCCCGCCCCCTGTCTAACTTGGAGTCCAGGATGGCATTCCAGTCCCCCATTAAAACTAGGCGCGTTGAATCCACCAGGAACGGCCCCAACCGCCGAAAGAACGAGACCCGCTTCCCCTGGTAATTGGGCGCATAAACCGCAACGACCCGGAACGAACCACTTTTCACGGAAATATCGGCCACGATCAACCGGCCCTCTGCATCGGTATGCACAAGGTCCCCCTTCGCATCGAGAGTACGTCTGACAAGCAAAGAAACACCTCAGGCAAACCGGTCCCCATATGCTGAATAAACGACAAAGTCATCCTCCAGCACACACGCATCGGAACTGCAAACAAAGTGAGTCTCTTCGATCGCGGCGACATCCACATCAAAGGACAACAGGTCCCGGAGCAGGCGGGCAGCCCTACCCCGATCCCTCAAGCCATTCACATTCAGTGTAGCTAACATAATTGCCATCATCTAGGCCTGCAAAAAGAAAAAAGAATAAGCGCAAAAACCTTATACACATACGGGGTGGAAATCTGCGCTGAGCAGGACCCCGACGGATTGTCCCAGACTACCAGTGCCCAATTCAGTCGTCATACGACCGCCCAGGACAATACCGCCGACGTCAATAGGGTACATTAATTTAATAGCCCTATATAAGGAGGGGTGAACTAAAACCGGGACTCTCCCAGAGCAAAAGTTGCGCAGTTTCTTCAAGTCGGGGTTGTCCAACTCACACATTCTAATGTTCGAAAGGCCTCCTTGGCCTCGAATATGTGGCTCCACACTTTTAGGTAGCCACCATTGTCTCTGACACAGGTAATGACACCTGGAGCCTTTGGGAAATTACGGGGTCCTCGACATTTTTGCCGTCCACCTCCGTCGTTTTGTACAGCACCTCCAACAGGGCTTTCCTTTGTTTTGACAGGCCCTTATGTACTCTTTTCTTTTGTCAATTTTACAAATTGACTCGGGGCCCTCAAACAATTTCTTTTTTTCTTCTTTTTCTCCCCTAGCAGGATGGGGAGGGGAGGAGGTGGACGTGTGTGGTGTTGTGTTCAACGAACTTTGGGAAGATGTGGAGGAGAGGGGATGTAGCACGGGAAGGGGAGGAAGGAAGCTCTTAATGCCGGGAGAGCAGGGCGATCTATTGGCGAAGCCGGGAAGGAGCGCCTCCTGGTTTTGACCAGACTGCGTTCCACCCGGCTACGACCAGAACAACTTCCTTGTGTTTTTCTTTCTTCTTCTTCCTCCTCCTCCTCCTCTTCTCTGCACCTCTTCAGAGAAGCCACTCGAGGTGGAGGCATGTGTTTAACTTCCATCGGACTGTCTCTTTGTTCCTTTGGTAGCTGCTGCTGCTCCTGCTGCTGTGGTTGTTGTTGCTGCTGCTGCTGCTGTTTCTGTGGGGGTTTTTGGGCGACTGTTTTTTCGCCACATTTTTTCCCCTTTTTTCTTTTCCATCTGCAGCTTTGATGGTGGTTGAGGCTTCTCCTTTTTTTTGGGGGGGGGCTGGTACATTCTTCCCCTTCCTTCCCTTTACAACCTCCTTCCAGGCTCCGTCAGCGTTTTTATCTGCTTCTGCCTTTTTGTCGTTCACCGCTACTGCTGCTACTGGTGGCGAGGGCTGGCTTACAGGCTGAGGTTGTTTCGTTGGGCAGTCTTTCGCCATGTGTCCCAGGACACCACACACCCAACAATTCGGTCGCCTGCCTTCCACCACGACCGACATCTTTCTTTTCCTGCAAACCAGGGTGTTGGGTATTATCCTAAATTCTTTCTGGTTTAGGGTCACCTGCATTTCCACGTCACCCGTGGCAATGCCGGACTTGCTCACTATCGCTTTGACCTCCTCCACTTTTTCCATACTGGGCGAAGAAGGCCCCCATTCTGTCCTCCGAGATGTCCACAGGCACGCCGTGGACTGTTATTTTAGTCATACGGGTGCCCATGTATTCCGTTTGCAGCTTGAGGTTTTTTGTTGTCAACACTCTGCCTGCCAACTGCTTCGCCTCCAGTTCTGTTGGTAGGAGAATGTCCCACATTGCGTTTGACCTCCTAGCCAGCACCTTCGGATAAATTTTCAAGGTCTTTAGGACCTCTTCCATTGTCTCCCTGCTGACTCCGGTTAATTTCCGACTTTTCACGTCGGACGTCAGCAGGGAAATGATTTTCTTTTCTACCGCTTCCAGTGCTTCAGGGATCGTAAGGAATTCATTTTCCTTAAACAACCTTTCAAAAGTCTGTCTTTGAGCTGCATAATATTCGGCATCTTTTTTCTTTTTCGGCCTATTCTCAGACCAGGCCGAATTTTCTAAAGACACCGTCGGTGGTGTATTATTTACGTTCTCGTCCATGGTGGCCTGTGACAACCACCACGACAGAACGAATGTCTTTTAAGTGTAAAATATATATTTTTTTTTTTCTAAAACAAAAAGAAAAACATGAAGAAAAACGGTGGACAAATAAAAATAAATTTCAACAAAGGAGCAAACAAAGGTATGCGAAGGCAAACAAAAGAGTGAGGGGGGTAAAAAGGCAAGAAAAAAAAAATTATGCACAAGTACAGAAAAAATCAAAAACAA